CATGCACCACCATACCCTGCTTTAAGCTTTTCTCTAATTCCCTTTCACAAGTTGGAAATTTAGCTGGGTGGGATCTTGCCCTGAGGTCACCACTCTCTTTATTCCATTTCTTAATCTGTGTATCTCAGCTCCACTCCACTTTCTGGTGCTCCTTTTCTCCTCAAACATTTTTTTCCTCGCTCAGCTTGCTCCTTTTCATTATAAATCTTCATTAGAGTTAACACTAGTAACAACACACCAGAATCTGTATTAGGCTGTTTTGAGATTTCCTCTGCCAATGGAATTAATCCAAATTTTTCACTTTAGCCTCAGGCAGAGTTTTCAGACAAGGGCATAAAGCAGCCACATTCTTCCCCAAAATACCACAAGAATGATCTAGGCAACACACTACAATTCTTCTCTGAAGCCTCTTGAGCCAGCCCTGCCATAGTTCATCAGACGACACTCAGCATCATTGTGTCCCATGGCCCATTATGAAGCACTTAAAGCATCCACTGCTTTTCTAGCCCAGACTCCCAAAGTCCAAATTCCTCCAAATAAAAACATGGCCTCCCCATCACAACAGTACCCCACTCCTGTACCAATGTCTCATTTAGTTAGGGTTTCTATTGCTGTGAGAAGAAACCATGACCACGACAACTCTTATAAATGAAAACATTTAGTTGAGGTAACAGCTTACAGTTTCAAAGGTTTAGTTCATTATCATCATGGCGGGGAACATGGTAGTTAGAATCATGGTGGCGTGCTGGCAGACATGGTTCTGGAGAATTCTACATCTTGATAGGCAGGCAACAGGAAGTGGTCTCAGACACTGGGCATAACTTGAGTATATGAGACCTCAAAGCCCACCCCCACAGTGACACATTTCCTCCAACAAGACCACACCTATTCCAACAAAACCATATTTCCTAAGAGTGCCACTCCTTTTGGGAATTGTTTTCTTTCAAACCACCAGTTACTACAATATTGTTAAGACAAAGAGGGATAAAGAAGGAGATCCAACACTCACTCTCCTTTGATCTCTGCACATAAAAGCACATGTAGGCAGACACAAACACAAATTATATAATGTACATATGTATGTATTGAAATATTACACAGCACTCCATTAATATGTATAATTTTTATATTTTTATGTATCAGTTAGATTTTAAAAGGAAAGAAATACCAAAGGGCCACAGAACTGCCTTCAGAGGGAAGGGAAAGCTTATGGTGACAATAATGCTTAATCAAATACTGAGGAAAGAATAAGATTTGTCCAGCTGTAAGAATGATAAATACCTAAGACTCCACAGAATGGGAGCAGACAGCAGTAGTAAAAGCATCTTTACTACTGGCTGAATCTTACAGAACATCAACAGCACGCTAAGAAACTTGAGAGCCAAGGTGGGGATCCAGGGACTGTTGGTTGCACCCTAGTGAAATCCATTCAGTGGGAGAAACCTTCAAACTTCTGTTAAAATTAGTTCAAATAGACAACAAGGCTTATTTAATATATGCATCCAATACTACAAGAATGCACACTGGGTTACAAAGTAAAATTAATTTATTTCTGTTAGCTCAGGGTCAAGAGTTTGAGCTAGGTAACTAATAACTGCCTGACCAGGTTACGCAAATGAAGGACATATCAAAAGGAACTCCCGGGTTTCTGGCACAGGTACCTGAATGGACTCACAATGGATGGCTGGGATAAGGAAAATTAGGAAGACTGCTTTACCAAGTCAGTGTAGGAATGCTGGGTATTTCCAACAGCATCTTTTTCAGCAGCTACAGTCAATAACGATCTTGTGCAGCAGAGACAATGGATGCAGTCAGTGCCACTGTGAGCTCACTGAATATACAGCTAACAGAGGTCTTCTAGGAACAGAAGGGGTATGTGATCTTAAATCTCAACCCACTGAAAAACTATGGAACCAGAAGAGCAGACAGGAGAAGTATAACATCATCAGAGAGCATACAGGATTGCTCAGTATCCTCTTCCTATCCCAACTACTAATAAGGATCCATTACCTATGGGACCCAGGCAAACATTCTGGAAAGTCTATCATCAGGGCACTTTCATTTCCTAGGAGTCTGTCTTGGTTTTGTTTTGTCTGTCTTTATGACTGCTTCCTTGCCTCCTCTGTTTTCGCTCCAAGAGGTGTTTCAGTTTGTATTCCTCCAGTGGCTCAGCTTACTGCGATCTCTAAATTGGAATTTGGCTGCCCCTCAGTTTACTCTTGGATCTTCAGGCTAAGAGAGCAGGACTAGAAGAACCTGACTTTTCTATAGATTTGGGGTAGATCATTCCTCTTCCAGCTGTTTTTACCCCTTAGGAAAGGGAATTCCCCAATTCTGGGAAGATCGCTGCATAACTGGGCCCAAAACTACTTTGTTTGTTTGTTTGCTTTTTGTTCTCATTTCTGTAGATAGGGTTTCTCTGTGTAGCCTTGGCTGTCCTGGAACTCACTCTATAGACCAGGGCACAGAGATCTGCCTGCCTCCACTTCCCGAGAATGCTGGGATTAAAGGCGTGTGCTGCCGTTGCTGCCACCACCACCTGGCCTTTTTTTTCCCCCTCAAAAACCAGTTTTCTCGGACCCTTTGCCTACGTTCTTCCAGGAACCTGCCCCAAACAATCAGCCAACTGGCTGCCCTCAAGTACCCCGCAGGTGCGGTCCTTCCCTCCCGCTGCTCTTCAGTGGGAAGTGGCCTCTCTTTCTGCAGCGTCATTTTACTTACCTCACGACAGTGCTCAGACATTAGCTCTGTGCAGCGCTGCTCTCACCCCTGCCACTGAATTCAGACTTTACTTCTACCTTTGTGCTGCCTTCCACAGCACCTCTTTGGGCTGTGAGCCAAACATTTCATTAGCACCTATTATAGACAATAGCGCTCAGTGTCCTTTCCCACCACAGTTTCTTGAGTGTGTGCACTGTATCCCAGCCTTCTCTCCAGCACCACATGGTCCCAAACACTCAGCAGGTCCTTGACACGGATTTTCTGATTCAAACAGAAAAGCTCTGAGAGGTTCTGCCAAAACCTATATAGATCATGGCAATTAAGAGCAAGAAGAGACGAGGCAGTGGTGGCGCACACCTTTAATCCCAGCACTCGGGAGGCAGAGGCAGGCGGATCTCTGTGAGTTTGAGACTCGTCTAGACTATAATATCTACAAAGAGAATTCCAGGACACCCAAGGCTTCACAGAGAGTCTGTGTCTCAGAAAACTGAAAGAAAGAAAGAAAGAAAGAAAGAAAGAAAGAAAGAAAGAAAGAAAGAAAGAAAGAAAGAAAGAAAGAGAAGGAGGGAGAGGAGGGAGGGAGGGAGGGAGGGAGGGAGGGAGGGAGGGAGGGAGGGAGGGAGGGAGGGATGGATGGTGGGTTTGGAGAAAGACAAAGAACAAATGATCCCCTCTTCTACTTAGCTGCTGATGGTCCACCCCACTCCTCATTTAGCTGCTGGTGGTCCACCCATTCCTCTGAAAATTTAACTTCAGCAAGAAAAGACATTTTGGAAAGTCTAAAGAAATACAAATAATTTCAAGGCTCTTCCCACTGCTATTAGTCAGGTATTGACCTTGGGATGTGGTTACGGGGATTATATATTTTATTTTGCCATCCACGCCCTCCACCACTCTGATACCTCTAGCTATATGGGCAAAAAAGAGTCTTTCATACAGGCTCTGAATATTATCTTTGAGCTCCTCTGGGAACAGCTTAGCCTTCTCTCAACCCTCCCACCTTTCCAATGAGTAATTCTACCATACAGTCCTCAGCTCTTAAAAAAAAGTAGTTTTCTTCTCAACGTATCCAGTTTCCCTCCCTGTACCCTCTCCTTAACCTCCACCATGGACACCAAAGGCAGACTGTGCCTTCTCAGCTCCTGACAAGAAGCCACAGTACATATCTCAGAGAAGAGAACTAGGAAGGGTTTCAACACTTGGAGTGTCCTATTCAATCCTATAAGTGCCATTTACATATATCCAGAACTTAGCATCCCTGTTTATAACTGGCCATTTATGTGTCCTATTTCCCTCTCTAAAACTGGGCTTCTTGAGAAGTAGCCCTAGTTCCCAGCAAAGTGCCCAGGACATAGTGTACCTTCTATAAACTAATGGTTTAGAGGGTTTAAAAAAATCCATAAAATAAATTGCCCCTTCAGGCTCCTTAGCCAAACTCAGTGATGATGTGAATTTGGAAGAAGAAACGCTTCAGAGGTGATCATAACTAAAACATCTTTATATAGTAGCCAGGCCTGTGATGCAAAGCTCAGCTAAAGACAGTCTCAAACAAGGATCCTTTGACGGGCAGCCATTCCCCACGTTCCTTGAACTACTCACTATAGTGAATGTAGTAAACTCCAGTTCTCCGGAGTTTACTTCCCAAGAGCTGGCAGCTCCCCCAGCCCCCGCTTCAGTGACTCCTATACCCCCCTTTGACCTTTAATGCTGTATAACAGTAGATGAAAAATGGATTTTTTTTAGACTACTTCACAGCTGAAGAAAAAAATATACTGTTTAAGGTGTTAAATATTTTCATATGCAACAAATCTGGCTTGACTCTAACCTGCACACACACTTAGAGGCACAGGCATAAATGTCAGTGGTATAATTTGTTATAGGTTTCTGATGACTAGAGATGGAAATGACCACGGATTCTCACAATTCAAACCACTTTTACGTAAATGTGAGCTTTCCTAAAACAGCCAAGAGGGAGAACTTTTCCACCCAACCTCAGAGAGTCTCTTAGAGATACCGATAGCATTATTCATGGGGTTAGGTGTTCTTTGAAAAAAAAATATTACAAATATTAGTTTCTTTTGGGGTTTATGCTGTGACCTTTAATAAAAATGTGCTTCAAGGCACCAGTTTTGAGAATGAAAGAAGCAGGTTTTCATGCTTAAACAAGTGCCACTTCATATAATCAAGACTCAAGGAAAACTGTACCTTACACACACACACACACACACACACACACATACACACACATTAGGTGATATCAGTCAAAATGGCTCACTTACCAGACATGAAGCAGGGTTATAAGAAACCATGAGTTGAATGTATCAGGCATCTGACACCCTAGAAAATAACAATAAAGTGTTAAATATAAGAAGGTGTAGAGGAGGCATAATGACTCCGTGTTAGCCTCTGGTGGGAATGTGCTCAACTAAAATATAAGGCAGTAGGACAGTTCTGACTATGCTATTGCAGAAAAGATGAGAAAAACACGATGTAAGACCGTGGGCTAGAGCACGGAATACAGCCAGACAACCAGCCTTCCAGTTCCAACCTTGTTACCGCCTTATGGCCTTGGGCAAACTGTGTCTTCCCTGAGTCTCAAACTCCTCATTTTACACAATGTGGCAGAGATGATTTCTTATGGCTCCTTCCAATGTCATGAGTTCTAAGCTAGTTTCCCTTTGTGGGCTTGAAGTCTAAAGAGCTAAGCACATACACCTCCCTGTGCCCCTTCAGCATCAGCTACTGTGATCATCTGAACCCTGCTGAAAAGGATAAGCCTTTCAGGTCTCCTTTTTTATTTGTTTGTGTGTTTTTCAAGGTAGGGTTTCTCTATGCAGCCCTGACTATCCTGGAACTTACTCTGGAGAACAGGCTGGCCTCTGCCTCCCCAGTGCTAGTATTAAAGGTGTACATCACACTGCCCAGCTCTTTCCTAATTTTTAAAAGATAATCCAATGTAGTATGGCCATGAATATGCTGAATGATTGACCCAAATAACCAGGAGGGGAAAGGGGGAACATTAGGAGCCAGGGCTGAATTGGGAAGTGGACTGCACCCACTGAAAGTCAGTCCTCAGCTACAGGAACAACACTGAACAGGGCCTCTTAGCTCCAGATTCTGCAGCTTAGATCTCAGCGCAGACATCCACACCGCTCCATTCTCAGACTTCTAAGAAATCCCTCTAGCTGGCTGAGGGGTCCCCACTACATGTACTCTCCTTATCATATGACAAGGAGAAAAGCTTGACAAGGAGCAGGAAGGATGAAGGGGAGAAAATTTGCAGGGAATATAGCCCTTACAGTAAAACCATCTTTTGGAACAATGACTCAAAAATAAAAGCAAGGCATGATAGTGCCTGCCTAGAATTCCATACCCATTCTGTGATCTTGTGAGGCAGCAGGATTGCAAAATCCAAGCTAGCCTGAACTATATTAAATCTGTATTCCTGCCTATCCCCCCAAAAAATCCAAAAGTATCCTCTGCCAATCAGCATCAATGAGGTAGCAGTTAACAAGGATCACTAGGAGAGAAAACACACTGTAGGACCCAAGGAGGGAGAACTACAACCTGCACTAATAAGGGAATCCTAGCTCACTGTGGCTGGGCTTATAACATGCCAGACATAAGTGCTTCACAGCCATTAGCTCAATGAATCTAACAACCCTAGTAGGGGGGTATTGACATATTCCCAGTTTGACAGGTGAGAAAACTGACAGTGTTATCTTGAAAACAGTGTTATCAAGACAATTGCTCAAGGCTCCTGAGCCACAACACCAAGAACTGAGACACATGAGATTAAATTCAGACTTCTTTGATCCTCTGTGCAGTGTGTGGACTGCTACTTAAGTACCTCTCTAATGTTAAGATGCGGCCCCTTCCTTGAGAAAGGGTAGTACTCCACACTCAACCTGCTGTTAATCATCTTAATACAACATTTCTCTTAATCCCTTTCCTTATAACCCAGAAGCAGCACTGGAGCCCTACGCTAGAGGCAAAGAAGCAGAGTAAAAAGGCCAAGTAACCACAGGCAAGAGCCATGCTAAGCCAGTGGTCAGGCTCGGGTTTGAATCCAGGTCTGTCACAAAAGGACACTAAAGAACTCGGGTGAGCTTACTGGGTGGTACCCAGCAGCTGTCAAGTGGACTTCCTCTCTGAACCCAGCAGGAGGGAGCTGGAGACTGGCCTGACCAGCCATCCAGCTATTGAGAGCCATGCCATCTGAGAGCCGGCCAGCTGCTCTCCGCCTAGAACAAGAATAGCCCCGAGAAACTCTCAAGCCCGGATTTCAATTTGGGTCTTTTTTTGGATGTTAGAACAAAACATTAAAAAGAAAAGTTTTCTTGGAAGTCTGTCTTTCAATCTGGAGAATGAAATCTGGCTGCTTCTACAAAACAATCTGCCCAACTGTTGCCTCTACATCAGAGCTTCCCAGCAGCCTCCAGGAGCCTGTCCAGTTTCCTCAGAGGTGGAATCAGTTCTTGGGCTGGAAAGCACAGAGAGACAGACAGGTCAGCAGCTGGCCCTGGGTCACAGTTTTCCCTTCTGGGGGTCAGCTCAGGGCTGATGAGAAAAGAGTTGGCACATGAGTAAGTCACTGTGCCCATGGAGGACATAACAGAAACCCACAGAGTAAACCTCAAAAATATCAAACCAACAACTGAATGTTGACTATGAGCAACACAAAAATACGATTCTTAGCTCAACAGAATGTGTTTACATACTTCAGGGCTAAACCCCGTGACACTCTGCCATGATCACACTCTTGCTCTAACACACATGCAGGATATTCTTTTCTGAGGCTAAACTCTTCCTTGACACCAGGTTCAGTTAAATTAAATAATTCCATTACTGTCACTGGAGAGCGATATTATCAGATTTTAATAGGAAGTCAGACTGCTTAATTTAATTGATTTAATTTAAGTCCATTTAGGTGAAGTTTCTGGGCTTCTCGGAGGCTCAGTTTCCTTCTGTCAATAAGTCAGTGGGCAGAACAAGGGGGCCTATCTGAGAGCTTCTGTGATGATAAACAAGAGATCAAAGGCCTGTAAAATGCTTAGGAAAGCCCGGTGTGGTTGCACATGCCCTTAGCCTGGGCACCAGCATTTGGGAGGCAGAGGAGGGTGGATCTCTGTGAGTCAGAAGCCATCCTACCCTACATAGTGAGTTCTAGGCCAACCAACAGCATGTAATGAAATCCTTTCAAAAAAAAAAAAAAAAACCTTAACAAAATGATTGCCATTTAAAATAACACCTCAATGTTTACTATTGTTGTTTCCACTGAATTAAATAATGGGGTTCAAATTATCTTTGAAAAGCTTCACCAGTTAAAACTGTGTCACAAAGTAGAATGAAACCTCAACCACTGGCTCAGAGTCTTTTCATTAAGGAGTCCCTCCTCTCCGAGGTCATCAGTCTCCTAGAGGCAAAAAGTCACAGACAAGATTGCAGAATTAAGCACAAAATACCTGGCTACCTATGCCCCACACACCAGTGAGCAAACTACATAACCCAGCAAGAATATTCATTATGTCAGGCAACGGACATCACCATCATGCCAGAAACAGCAGCTGCCAAAGTTATCTGACTACTCAGACGCACCTAGCGCTGTAGATCTCAGTGGTACTGACATGACTGAGGTCTACAACTCTGACAGCATAAGGAGGACTGTCCAAGAAGCTGATGAGCACAGCATACTGTGACACAACACCTCCCTAACATACAGTCTTCAAGAAATGTCATCAGCCTCCTTTTGGTGGGGAAGAATGACACTTGCCAGATGTTCAAGGCTCTCTGTCCTCAGGACTACTACAATCAAGCCCTACCGAAAAGATGTAAAGTGGTGTGGCCACTTTAAAGGTATAATCTTAGGAAGCAACATAAATATTCCCTCATTTTATTCCAATCCCCACTAACTCCTTAGAATCCAAACCATAAGAAAGTCGGTCTCACTATTTTACAGATTTTTCTAAAAAATCTTTTGCCTCCAGATGGTACTTTCCAAATCTGTTCTTTGTTCACTAGCCACACTCTGGAACTTCTTTGGCTTGATTTTAAAATGTAAACCTAGCCAAAAAAAAAAAAAAAAGGGTCACAGGAGAACAAATAAACAAGTCATAGGTTTGTTTGCTTGTTTGTGACAAGGTTTCACTATGTAGTCCTGGCTACATAGTGAACAGGTTTTCCTTAAGTTTATGGCAATCTTCATGCCACTTCTAAGTACTGGAATTACAGACATGTGCCACCATGCCCTCCTTATGCTATAGGTTTATGTGGTGGTTTTCATTTTGAAAGAGGATCTCTCTATGCAGTCTTAGTTAGCCTGGAGCTCGATATGTAGAACAGGCTGGCCTGAACTCAGAGATCTGCCTGTCTCTGACTCCCAAGTGCCACCATGCCCGGCCTATGCCATAGGCAAATGCCTAATTAAGTCTTAGAAAATCTGAAGGGAGAGTGTGATCACCAGAAAACTCACTGCCACTTATTCTGAAGGACAAATCCAGGGCAAAATGCACCAAGATACACCCTGTTGTATATACAAACACCAATTTCCAATACTAGTACAACATCTCCCAAAGGGAACTCTCATCAAAATAAAGCAAAACCCAAATTATTAAGTTGCATTACAATTTCCAGTTTGTGGTTACATTCATTCACGGACAGCATGCTACAGTGGGAAAATCCCTGAGGTTTAAGCCAGACAACACAGGTGCAAGGCTTGGCTAGGCAATCTTGGGCAAGTCACTGAGCCTCTTTAAGCTTCAACTGTTTCTAAACACAAAACAAAAATAAACAATAATACAAGCACTTACTATCCCACAAGATTGTGAAACTCCTAAAGGAGACAAACATGAAAGCAAATAAATGTGAGCTATTAATATGTAATTATAACTTTCTGACACTTTTAAGTTGATAATCTGCAAGCTATGACTGAAATATTAAAATTAACTATGTAATAACAGTCCTTTTTATTTGATACTATAATAGTAATAAAACTCAAGAACCCTCACTAGGAAGCTAGAGAGGTGGCTTAGTGGTTAAAAGCACTGGCTGCTCTTGCAGAGGACCCAGGTTTGATTCCCAACACCCACATGGCAGCTCACAACCATCTGTTTTTGGAAGTGCAGTTCCAGTGTTTCCAATGCCCTCTTCTGGCCTCTGTGGGCACTGACTGCATGTACACATATATACCAAATACTAATACAGGTAAACTAAAACTTTAAAAAAAGAGGAACCTGCAATAATGAGGAGTGATGGCAAGTAAGCACTCATCTAAGATCATTATAATAAATATGAATCAAGTATTAAATACCTGATGATAAACTTGTTTTTCCCTTTGGGTGTGTGTGTGTGTGTGTGTGCCCGTGTGTGTTGTATTTATGTGTATGGTATATGCGCATGAGTGTTTGAGTGTACATATGTGCATGCAGAATCCAGAGGAAATTATCAAGTATCTTCCTCTATGTCTCTCTACCTGGAAGAGCTCACCATTTTGGCTTACCAGCAAGCTCCCAGGATCTACTAGCTGTCATCTTCCCTCCCCCAATGCTGAGGTTATAGGCACATCTGGATCTGCATCCTTGCATGGCTCAAGGGACTTGAACTGTATGCGGGTATTGAAATAATGAAGTAAGACAGATAGATACATGGACACAGACAAAAATGCTGGTTCAGTTGGACTGGGGTCTTAGATAGAGAAACCACAGTACCCCAGAAGCTCAGCATGTTTATTACACAGATTTGAAAAGACACAGGGTTATAGCAAACAGCTGAACAAGGAGGTGCAGTTTAAGGCAAGAGTGGCTAGCCATGGTAGGAACAGTCTCTGTTTTGCAGCAGTCATCAAGCTGTACATTTCTGGAGGGAGAAAGATATAGTGCACATTTTCTACACACAATGTCAACACTTACACTTAGGAAAGCTCTGCCACTCCTCTGAGCCTCATCCCAAGAGGCTTTGTCATCTTCCCATCAGTCTGAGGCTATGAGGTCCTTAACATGGCCATGCACGTGTCAACAACACAAATTCACTGAGGACTTCACTCACTCAGGGTTTCCTTCACTCCCAACATGGGACCATGCACAGCTTTTTCCATGGGTGCTGATGCAAACTCAGGCCTTTATGCTTGCACAGCAAGGGATCTTACTCCCTGGCCTTGAGGATAATGTTTCTATGGAAAAAGATATGAGGGTAGGCTGAAGGAGACCTTAGTGCTGCTCTCATGCTCTCATGGGTAAGATCCCCCAAACTGCAAACAAACATAGACAACAAGCATAAGGTGGTTATGTTGGTTTTGCTTGTTTGCTTTTCAGATTATTTATTTTTTATTTTATAGGTATGGGTGTCTTGCCTGCATGTATGTCTGTATATTACATGCATGCCATATATGCAGAGTCCAGAAGAGGTCATCAGATCCTCTCTAGAACTAGAGTGACAAATGATTGTAGCTATCATGTGGGTGCTAAGAATCAAACTTAGGTCTTCTGGAAGAACAGTAGGTGCTCCTAATTTCTGAGCCATTTCATTGGCTCCAGATATGATTGTTCACTTGTTTGTTTGGCTTGGGGGGTATTTTTAATGTTACTTTCTAAATTAAAATTATGCTAAAAAATCAAGCAAACTGCCGGGCGGTGGTAGCGCATACCTTTAATCCCAACACTTGGGAGGCAGAGGCAGGAGGATCGCTGTGAGTTCGGAGGCAGGGCTGGACCGACAGCTTCCAAAACGATACAGAGAAACCATGTCTCGTAAAACCAAAAAAAAAAAAAATCAAGCAAACTACAGTAAAATAAAAAGGCCCAGGAGAATGCCCATAGATTTAAGAAAAAACTCGGTATCTTCTTTATCATTTGAAGAAAGTATATTTTCTCATTGTAGACTAATTTCTTGTATAATAAAAAAACAGTTTAGGACTGGCAAGATAGCTCAGGAGATAAGGATGTTTGCCATCAAGCCTGTCAACCTGATTATAATTCCCTAGAAGCCGAATGGCAGAAAGAACCAATCTTTATAAGTTGTTCTCTGACCTCTACATGGGCCCCCATGGTGTGTATGCTCACACATATGTGTACACACACACACACACACACACACACACACCAGCAATAAATGAAATGTCTTTTTAGTTAATAAAAAACTCCCCGTTTACAAAGGAGCAGGGAAATTATCTTTCCCGGTGAACAAGAAAATAGAAAGTAGCTCTACCCCATCTTACGAGATGGCCGGTGAAAAAGCTCAGAAGCCTGACACAAAAGAGAAAGCCAGCAGCCACGAAGGCTGGCGGTGATGCCGCTGCCGCTGGTGCCCTGCCGCTGGCGCAGTCAGAAAGGGCGGTGGCCTAAGGTTAAGAAGCCCGAGAAGGGAAGCCCCAGTGCAGCCGGACCCCTGTCCCGGCTAGAGGACTTGGCAGGTACTCCCGATCTGTTATGTACTCCAGAAAGGCTCTGAACAAAAGAAAATACTCAGCTGCAAAAACCAAGGTTGAAAAGAAGAAAAGAAAGGAGAAGGTCCTGGCTACTGTCACTAAACCTGTTGGTGGTGACAAGAATGGTGGTAGCCGGGTAGTTAAGCTTCGAAAAATACCCAGGTATTACCCTACTGAAGATGTTCTTCTCAGCAGCTAAGCCATGGCAAAAAGCCCTTCAGTCAGCGTGTGAGAAAGCTGCATGCCAGCATCACTCCAGGGACTGTCCTGATCATCCTCTCCTGGTACCACAGGGGCAAGAGGGTGGTTTTCCTGAAGCAGCTGAGCAGTGGCTTTACTCCTGACAGGCCCTCTTGCCTTCAACAGAGTTCCTCTGTGAAGAACATACCAGAAATTTGTCATTGCCACTTCTACAAAAGTTGTTATCAGTAATGTTAAAATCCCCAAACACCTGACTGATGCTTACTTCAGGAAGAAGCAGCTGCGCAAGCCCAGGCACCAGGAGGGTGAGATCTTCACACAGAGAAAGAGAAATACGAGATTACAGAGCAGCACAAGGCCAATCAGAAAACCGTGAACTCGCAGCATTTGCCAAAGATCAAAGCTGTTCCTCAGCTCCAGGGCTACCTGCGGTCTCAGTTCTCTCTGACAAACGGGATGTATCCTCACAAACTGGTTTTCTAAATTGCTATCAACCTAATTAAACAGCTTCATATGTTAAAAAGAAAGAAAGAAAATAGAAAGTAAAAAAGTAAATTAGAATTATAACAAAATATACTATTTTAAGTCCCTAATATTAATCTGCTGAAATAGTGAAGTAGCCAAAACAACTTATATTTGAGTTTTAAACAAATCAAATAGTTATTAAGCAATCAAAACTGCATCTAGCCTTCTTTGTTAACTGTGTACGGATATTTGTTGCCAGAGGAAAGCACCAGCTGTACTCTTTAAGGGGAGGGCTTTTGCTGTAAGTGCACAGAGTACAGGTTTCCTTCTAAAGTCTGTGGACACAGAATGGCTTACAAATACTTATTTTAGTTAACCATTTTAATAATTGTAGTTTATAGTAACATCCTTCTGGAAATCAATTATCAATGGGATGTAAGTGATAAAATTATATAAGCCTTTGAGACCAAAAACCCTCTAGTAAAAAGAAGAGTCACTGTTGCAGAACATTTGTATACTGTGTGAAGATGTGTTGGTTGCCATGACTGGTGTAAAAATAAAGGTGAATGGCTAACAGCTAGGCAGGAGAGGCAGGCAGTACTTCCCTTTGAGCAAAGAGAGGAGATAGTCAAGGCAAGATGCTGAATGAATCAGACACACAGCGAATGGGAGAGAGGTAAAAAGCCACATGGTAGAACATAGATTAATAAAAATAAGGGTTAATTTAAGTTAAAAGAGTTAGTGGGTCAAGTCTAAGCTCATGGCCAAGATTTCCTAATCAACAGATGAGCTGGCCGCCCCAAGGAAGTCTGACTACAAATCATGAAATTTATTTCAGGATTAACTAAAACAATCAAAGACACAAAAAGAGAAATGACTGACAAAAAGTCCATGTCAAATGCTAAGAGAGGGCATGGTGGTACAAGCCTGAATCCAGCCAGCACTTGGGAGACAGACAGTAGGATCAGGAGCTCAAGGTCACCCTCGATGCACAGCAAGTTCAAGGGATGGAGAGGTGGTTCAGTCTATGAAGTGCCTGCCGTGCAAACATGATGACCTTAGCCTGATTCCTAGATCCCCTGTAAAAATACCGGGCACGTACCAGGCAGAGTGACCTGTGCCTGTAACCCCAGTGATGGGGAGGCAGAGACAGGAGGGTTACTGGAGCTCACTAGTCATCAAGTGTAGCCTAACTGTGAGCTCCAGGCCAATGAAGGACCCTGTCTTAAAGGAGATAAACAATGTTTTGGAGGATAACACCAGTGTTCACCACAGTGAACACCGTGGGCTATACATGCATGGATAAATAGGATAACATACACACACACACACACACACACACACACACACACACACAAACAAATGTTTAAGTTAACTTAAAACCCACAGCTACAAAAATAAACAGTAGACGGTTCCCTTTCAGAACAATCGAGAGTCACTTACTCTGAAAGAATTCCTCAAAGTCAGTTTTCTCCACACAGCTCGTGTACATGCGTAGGGCTGCGATCTTAATCTTCTAGACAAAGAGAATAAAACCAAACTCAAGACATGACCAAGAGGATGCTCTAGAGTCATTAGGTATGGGCTGCAGAGCTCATATTTCTTCCGCTAGAAGGAGAGGTACAAATCTATCTGCGGGCAATGTATTTTGTTTTAGAGACCAGACCTCAAGCAGCCCATGTTGACTGGGGACTGGCTCTGTAGTTGAGCTCACCATCTCTACCTTTAAATATAAACACATAAATTTTTAAAATGTTAACCCTGAAATCCTTTAATCTTTGCTCAGAGGCTCTACTAACTAGTCTATGATTTAGGGGTGGGGGGGCATGTCTTTTCTGCACTCACAGAACCTATGTGTATAAACAAATTCTCTAATAAATACGAAATACTTCTCACTATGCCTCAAGTACTAAATATGAAGCACTTAGTACCCAATATTAAGAAATTTCTTCAGGGGCTGGAAACATGACTCAGGTTAGAAGCACATCGAGGTTCGCCATCCCCTGTAACTCCAGCCCCAGGGGATCTGACGTTCTCTTCTGGCCTCCACAGGCAACAGGAATCCATGTGGTACACATACATACACATACACAAGCAAACTAGTCATACACATAAAAATAAATCAATCTTTTAAAAGAAAAGGTTAATTCCCTCAGACCTTAATGAGTGGTATTTTACCTAAGCCCTATACTAACTTGTATTTTATGTATGTATATTACACCTTAAGATCAAATCTAGAAATCATAAATCAGTTCTTACAGAGTTGAGTTGGTCTGGAGAACAAGCCAGAAATACAAAATTGCAAAACTAAATAAAGCAGTATATAACAAAAGACTTGTACAAGTTTCTTTTCCTTTCTTGAAATGACAGGGCAAGCACAACATAGTGGCCCATGCCTATCATCCCAGCACTCAAAGAGTTCAAGACCAGTATAGTCTACAGAGCAGGTTCCAGGCCAGTCCAGACTATAGTGTGAGACACTGTCTCAAAAACAAAGCAAAACAAACAAACAAACAAAAAACTAAAAAAGGGCTGGAGAGATGGCTCAGCAATTAAGAACACTGGCTACTCTTGTAGAGGACCCAGGTTCAGTTCCCAGCAACTGGCATGGTGGCTCTAAACCACCTGTAACTCCAATTCCAGGGGATCTAACACCTTCTTCTGGCTCTGGCCTCCACAGGCATCAGGCACACAAGGGGTACACAGATACACAAGCATACATACAGGCAGATAAAATACCTATATACATAATAAAATTGAATTACTGAAACAAAAACAAAACAAAAAGAAAAATTAAACAAACAGCACTTAGGAGGCTGAGATGAAAAAGAAGTTCAAGCTTCATCTACAAGATACCCTGTCTCTAAAATAAATAAATAAAAACAAATAAATAGAGCCCATCAAGAGTTAAGATATAATACATGACAATCAAAGAGATTTATGCAGAAATGCAAAGTTGAACCCAACGCTGGCAAATCAAAGAACGGACAAGAGGGAGGGAGCTGCCTTTAAAATTCATCAAGAACTACGATTCAGCTAAGCATGATGGTGCACGCCTTTAATCCCAGCGCTTGGGAGGCAGAAGGCAGATCTCTGTGAGTTCAAGGCCAGTCTGATCTACAGATCAAGTTCCAGGACACACACACACACACACACACACACACACACACACACACACACACACACACACACACACACACACTCGAGAAAACAAAACAAAACAAAAAACAAAAACAAGAACAAGTGTAACCAGGGAGCAGAAAGATCAGGTTTCAGAAAGCATTGATCTACACTATCACTGGCCTAATGACACCCTTATCCTGATACTTTTGACACCAGTAGGCCTTTTGTCCTTGAGATGGGAACTTTAGGCTCACTTAACACTGAATACCAAATGGAGTTCCTGCCACAGATCTAAATGCTATGGTGAGGGATAAACAAAATGGACAAAAATTTCTGCCCTGGTTGAGTGTATGGCCCAGGTTAACTATAGACAAATTTATAATTTTAACTAAAATTCCTAGTTACTTAATTCTTGACCCTCCCCCCATGCTTGTCGTTTCCTTCTGGATCCTCTGCATAAACTCTCTTTAGTCACAACTCATCACTCTGCTCTAGGAAAGGCAGACTTGTCTCCAAGGCCCCAGGCTCCAGATACATCCATGAAAAAGTATTCATTACAAATAAAGACTACTTGACCAGACTGGCCAGCATCTTTATACAGTGCTCATACTGTGGCAATCAGAAGCATTTTATAGTTCTTCTCTTTTCTTGTAGCAAAGCCAAACCTTTATTCTTGGGTGAGCCATTTTCCTGGACAAATCTCTGAAGCAAGTCCCTGAGGACTCTCATGCCGGGGCTGGAAGTAACAGCTGGAAAGAGTCTCTTTGAGAACCATGAGTTAATGTGAGTGAAGGGAAGGACGCAGACTGAATTTCCACTCAGTCAACACAAGCTGTTCCCGTCCTTGGATGACTTCATGTTTATTTCACTCTCACTTTGGGAGACTTCGCCATGCCATTGTCTAGGGCAGGACACCTAGGCCTGCTCTCCCACCTGCCAGGACATGTGTACCCTCCAACAAGACGAGGAGTGAATGGAGTAAGAGGATTGTACTGATGGCTATGTGAGAGCTGCACAGGAAATTTTACTTTTTTTTTTTTTTTTTGTCACTTGAACCTCCTATTCTGGCTGGACTTCTTTTTACAACATTCTTATTTCATGTTGAACAATCTGAGCCCCTGCGCCAACCAAACAACCTCGTAAGGCTCCATCCTACTGGAGGGCTCTCATCATTCCCTACTCTGAGCACCTCAGATGACACATCTTCATCCATCATCCATCACCGACTTTTCCCTCAATGCTAAGGACTCACAAGGCCTTCTCTTTTCTATACTAAGCATCTCTATTTCTTTCAACTTTTCTTTTTTCTATTTTTGGGAGGTGGGGGGAGATTTGCTGTGTTCCCCTAAGCTACCCCAAAACTGCCTATGTAGAACAGGCTGGCCTCAAACTCACAGAGATCTGCCTGTCTCTGCCACCCAAGTGCTAGGATTGAAGACCTATGGCACCATTCATGGTTTCTTCAACCATTCTTTAGTTCTTACATGATACTGCTATGTAAACATAAGAGGGGGAAAGGTTATTTTCAAGGGGGAGCATGGTGGTGCACACCTTTAATTACTTCCAACACTTGAGAATCAGAGATAGGCAAATTTTTGTGAATTTGAGTTCAGCCTGGTCTACATAGCTAGTTCCATGCCAGCCAGGGCTACACAGAGAGTCCCTGTCTCAAACAAAACAAAACAAAACAACCAAACAAACAAAGAAAAATGCTATTTTAGGGTGCTCAAATAAGTAAGAAAAGGCTACATTTAAACTTTTAAATATAGGCTAGGGACACTGTTTTATGGTCTATTGATTGTCTAGCATGAGAAAGACCTTGAGCTAAATCTTCAGCAATAAAGTCTAAGTATGATTCTATAGGAATCTACAAATGAAAACATCCAAGAAAAATGTAGCCAGAAGGTAGGTCATAAGCATCAGTAGACAAGTAAACACTTTGTTCTCTAAGCAAATTCCTGTGAAAATACAAACAAGGAATTTGCCAGTGCAAGCCAATGCAAGTATCTGGCCACAGATTTCTGAGTTAACAGTGCTAAAAAGGACTTAACTATAAACCTTTAAAACGGGAAGTCCTCACTACATTTTTCCCACCAAAATCAAACCAGAATGTCATAGTGTGATATTTTGATGTGACAGACTTTAAAAAAGAAGGCTATAAAAACTGCCACATCGGACTGGAGTGATGGGTCAGCAGTTAAGAGCACTGGCTGCTCTTCCAGAGGACCCAGGTTCAAATCCCAGCACCCACATGACAGCTCACAACCATCTATAATGAGATCTGATACACTGGTTTGGCCTTCAGGCATACATTCAGACAGAACACTGTATACATAATAAATAAATAAATCTTTTAAAAAACTGCCATATCATAAGAGATTTTTTAATGCAAATATTTAGTTAAGGTAACTTAGCTATAAGAGAGAATTCTCCCACTGGTCTCATAATTTTTCAAATAGTGGCCAATTTGCCCTGTGGAATCATTAAAAATGAAACAAAACATAAGACTAGACAAAGCATATGGAAGCAACTAAGTGGAACCCAATTACTAAGACACGAGTAAAACAGTTAATATCCTCCTCTATTCTTTCTTTATTTCCATTTCACTCTTCATTTTGGGGGGGCAGGGGGCAGGATAGCACACATCTTTATTCCCAGTAGCTGGCAGAGGGAGGTGGAGCTCTGTGAGTTTCAGGCCATTTTTGTCTAGAACTCACAGAGATCCATTTAGGATTAAAGGCATGTTCACCACTCATGATTTAATTTCCACTTTTTAAACAGCACACATATTTTCAATTCTATATTACAAATGTCATAATCACAACTTCTTTTTTTGTCTGTCTGTTTTCAAGACCAGGTTTCTCTGTAGCTTTGAAGGCTGTCAGTAGACCAAACTGGCCTTCAACTTACAGAGATCACCTGCCTCTGCCTCCTGAGTGCTGGAATTAAAGGTGTGAACCACCACCTGGCACAACTTCTTTTTAAAAGAGGAAGGGGGCCAACAAAATGGCTCAGAGAATAAAGGCTTTTGCCACCAAACTTGATGATCTAAATTCAACACCCAGGATCCACACAGTGGAAGGAGAGAACAGAGTTCCCAATCTGTCTTATGATCTCCATACATTCTCCAAGACTCCAAGACATGCATGCAGCTACACACATATAACGTGCACACACACACACACACACACAATTTTAAAAATTATAAATGGGCTGGGCGTTTGTGGTGCACGCCTTTAATCCCAGCACTCGGGAGGCAGAGGCAGGCGGATCTCTGTGAATTCGAGGCTGGGCTGGACCGACAGCCTCCAAAACAATACAGAGAAACCCTGTCTCGTAAAAACCAAAAAAAAAAAGAAGAATTTTACACACATAAATATAAAACTTTAATAAAAATAACTGTTTCCAGTGGGAGGGAGAACTGAAGTTGGAATGTAAATGAAACTTAAGAAAATAAATAAATTATTTTTTAAAAAAAGAAAGAAAATGACTATTTCCTTGAAGTTTTACCAGAGACTGCAGGGTCTCTAAGAATATCACTGTCACTTAGCATTTGTAGCCTCTCCATCTATTTGAAAGCTCTTATCAACAAAGTTGCAATCAATGTTGACTTTTCAGAATTTGTACACAAAAACTTGCAGACAGAAACCTGTATTTGCTGTCATGAAAACTGTTGGGAAAATGAATTAATCTAAGAGAGCAAAAGTAGCCAGACAGTGCTGCATGCCTGTAATTCCAACACATTGTGGGGCAGATGCAGGGGGACCTCTGTGAGTTTGAGGTCAGTCTGGTCTACCAGCATGAGTTCTAGGACAGCCAGGGCTACACAGAGAATGTGACCCATTGGAATGTCCCTTTAACCTCATCTAGATGCTGTTATCAGGCAACAAAGCAAAGGCCTGAAAACTTGCGCCTCGTTGCCCTGCCAGCAACTGCAGACACGTCCAAGGCTTTGGGTGAAGGGGTTCTTTGGTCTGCCTATACATACACTAACTAGAGCGTAGAGGGTGCATTCTTAAGAAATTCTCAAAAGAACGTGTGAATTTCTCAAATCAGAAGCTTTAAAGTCAATCTATGAGCATCAGAAGAGCCCAGACCCAAAGGAACATAAAATCTTTACCCATTTACTGTATTTCAAAGGTCCAGTGAATCCCATGGCTTCTATTATCTTCGTGAAGGGACCAACCTTCTCCTCTACAGGTTGCGGGAAATCTTGGATAGTAGGAAGCTACTTAACCAAAGAAAAAGAAATCAAGTTAGTTACAAGAAATTTTCAAAACAGAGTGCTTTTATTTCTTCCTTCTAAGGACATTTTTATTGCTTAGATTGTTTTTTTACTTTGATTTCCTTTTTTTTCTACCTGATTGCTTGCTTGCTTGCTTTGAGTGTTCTGTTGTTCTGTTTTAGCACAATGCTGGAGATCAAGCCCAGGGCTTCGCATACACTAAGCAAGTACTCTCTCATGAAACCAGACTCAGAACCCTCCCTAGATGTGCCAACACATCTGAAATGGTATCTAACAGACATCCTCCAGATTACAAAGCAATGCATACCCACCTCAGTAACCATGTGCCTGTGATCCCATGATTGGGAAAGAAGAGACTAGAGGTACTTGAGTTAAAGGTGACATGAAACAGAGTGAGATGGCTCAGTGGCTAACAGCACTGGCTGCTCTTCCAGAGGACTTAGGTTCAATTCTCAGCACCCCCCATTGCAGCCAACAACTGTCTATAACTCTAGTTCTAAGGGATCTGTGCCTGCTGCTTCTGGCCTCTGAGGGCAACACACCCATTATACATAAAAAAATAGAAGGAAAAGGGCAAGGGGTGGGCAGAAGGGAGTGAGGGGAAGAGACAAGGAAAAAAGAAGAGAAAGGGAGGGAGAAGAGGGAGGAAGAGAGGAAGGGGGGGGGAATTCTAGGAAAACTTGCTCCAATGCCTCAATAAAGAAAGGTAGAAGCCGGGCGTTGGCGCACGCCTTTAATCCCAGCACTTGGGAGGCAGAGGCAGGTGGATCTCTGTGAGTTCGAAGCCAGCCTGGTCTACAGAGCTAGTTCCAGGACAGTCTCCAAAGCTACACAGAGAAACCCTGTCTCGAAAAAAAAAACCAAAAAAAAAAAAAAAAAAAAAGAAAGGTAGATAATTCACCCAATAAGTAATTCTTGCAAGATTTATGACTGTCTTAAACTTGTACAAAGTCCATAAAAATTGTTTTTCTCTAAAAAATTTTTTAATTTCAGACAAGAGCCTACAGTAGAAGAAACAGGATACAAGCTCACAAGATAGGCTTCACATAGTCTATTAGTTTGTCACTCACCACCCTCTGTAAACTTGGGTAAATCCCTTCAACTCCCCAAACCTCACCCTCTATATTCACGTAAGGCATTCACATAAGGCAGTCTACAGCAGCGGACACACTCACCTTACTTGTGGTGTGGTATTTCCTATTCTGCTGTGTGTCCATCCCAACACTTTGTTCTGATTCCACCCAGACTCGAGACTGGTTCATCCGTGACCTCTGGAAGATGAACAGATATGAGTGACTGAGCATGACTTAACAAAGTCAGTCCAAGAGGAGCTCTCTGGCTGGCTCTACCCAACCTTGCTTGCCCAGTGTCTGGTGAAGGACCATCGAGATGAGTCAAGATCAGCAGCCAGAGTGGTGTTTGGTACATGGCAAATGCTCGACAGTATCTATTGAATACACGAAGCTGGATGTGATGGCTCACACTTGCAATCTCTGGAAGGCTGAAGCAGGAGGATTGCTGTGAGTTCAGTACCAGCTCAGAGCATAGCAAGAGATGGTTCCAAAGAACAAAATAAAGCCCAAAAATTAATTCATTAATTCTTGAAGAAATAAAAGGATTCAGCCCTAGAAATATAGACTGACTCTAAGTCAAATCAGAGAAGTAAAATTATAATAGGAAAATGAAAGAGTGAGTTTCTATGTAAATTCTGACAAGGTTTGATGTGTAGGAGAGAGGCATCAATTTTAAGATTAAAACTTGTTACTACTGGCAGGCAAATTTCTATACATTTGAGCTAGCCTGGTCTACAGAATGAATTCCAGGACAGCTAGAGCTATGCCAAGAAACGCCGTCTCAAAAAAAAAAAAAAAAAAAAAAACTAAAAAACAAAACAACCAAAAAAAAAAAAAAACTTGGGTCAGCCAGGTGGTGGTGGGGCACGCCTTTAATTCCAGCTCTTGGGAGGCAGAGGCAGGAGGATCTCTGTGAGTTCAAGGACAGCCAGGACTACACAGAGAAACCCTGCCTCGGAAAAACAAAAACAAACAAACTTGGGGTTAAAGAGATGACTGCTCTTCCAGAGGATCCATGTTCAATTCTCAGCACTCACATGGCAGCTCACAACGTCTATAACTCCAGCTCCAGAAAATCCAACAACCTCACACAGACATACATGCAGACAATATACCATGACCATAAAATAAAATAAATGAAATTAAAAAATAAAACAATATAATTTTTTTAAACTGCTTCTGCCACCTAAACGCTCAAAGGCCATTGACAACTTGCTGCATGTTGGTTACAGTGAGGCCTGAATGGGAAAAGCATGAAAAATGCATCTCAAATGAAAAACACAATTTTTAACATTTTTAAAATTTTAAAAACATAGGTAAAATTACAAACAAAATCATGAATGTGCATGGTTAAATCTAGGAAGCAACACACAGAAATGAAAGGGTTATTTGGTTAAACTGGAATTGTGGGTAGCAAATTAGGAATGTAACTCAATAGTAGAACTCTTTGCCTAACATGGACAGGACCTTGAGTCTGAGTTCCTGTACCACAAAAGAGGGTGGGGAAGGAGGGAAAGGAAGAATGAATTATGGGTAAATTTGGGAATTCAGTGTCCAAATTCCCAGTAATGTTTTAATTGCCATAAATTAATTAAAAGAGGGGTGTAGTGGGTGGCAGCTGGGCATGGAGGCACATGTCTTTAATTTAATCACAGCACTTAGGAGAGACACACAGGGGGAGCTCTGAGTTTGAGGCCAGCCTGGTCTACATAGTGAGTTCTACCCAGCATAGTCTCAAAAAAAAAATTAATTAAAAAAGCAAAAACAAAAACAAAACATGGGAGGAAGTAGAGGGTTAATCCTAAAATTCTGGTTTACTCCAAAAAGAGGAGGGCTAAATGAAATTAACAATGATTTAGTTGTTTCATCTTAATAAAGGAAAAATAGTTTCTCATTGTGGACTAGTACTATTTGTATTTCTTTCCAAACAAGGATATTAAAAGATTAGTCAGAACTCGTCTGCAGGCCCAGGGACACTTATGCTTTAATTCTCAAGTACCAAGCAGGCTTTGTGAAATACAGACTAAACACAGGGCACCTCCCATGACGTCACATACATCAGTGTAATGGCCCATCTAGAGCACAGAGCACCTCAACTCCTCCAAGAATGCAGAGTGAGCCTGAGCAGAGCTGGCTTCCTCCTGTGCTGCTGTTCGCTTAGACATCTTTCTTTCTCTGTCCCCACAGCTTCACAGTGGCCACAGATTCCTTCTGTACGCTGTGAGGGAAGAACCAGGGCAACACCTTCCCACTGCTCATCTATAAACACATTTACTTGGTGGACCACCCTCCTAGCCTTTGCCTCTTCAAAAAGGGCCTTTGAAGGCCTCAATTTTCATCTTTTTCAAGCTAAAGAGACAGCAATAAACAAAGTAATTACCCAAAGTAACTCAAATATTACTTTTTCAAGGAGAACTTCTCTCTCTTCTTTTGGTTTTTGTTTTCTTGGTTGGTTCCCTTTCATTTTGTTTTGAAGCAGGGTCTCATGTCATCTAGGCTAGCCCTGAACTCTGTAAGTAGCTGAGGATAATCCTGATTCCCCAGCTTCTAGCGCCCAAGTGCTGAAATGACAGGTACAGTGCCCAACTTCACGTGGTGCTGGGGACCAAATGCAGGATTTGGTACATGCCAGACAAGCACTAACTGAGCTACACCCTGTCCTCAACAAGGCCCTCCCTAACTACCTTATCAAAAAACAGTTCCTTGCAACCCATTATTCTCTACCAAAAAGTAGCCTATTCACTTCCTCTATGGTACTCGTTAAACGCATAATTATATATTTACTTAAGTATTTGCTTATTTTCCATCACCACTGTCAAAAAGATACATGATGTAAGAACAGCCTCTCTCATCAGAATGGACTCCGATATGGCACATAGGAGACACGTAAATAGTTGCTGACAAAACAAATCCTCCATTTGCACAATATTTATTTGATTACCCACCCCTACCATCTTGGACCACATATGCACCATAGACACATGCTTCATTTATCCATACTCTACTAAACACTCAAGATATGCTACACAGGCTTGAGGATAGAAGTAAATCTGTGTCCTCTGGGAGCTCATGGTCTTACATAGAAAAGAAAACAAAAAAGAATTTAACATAGGAAACCAGAACCAAGTGCCACACTGAAAATGTCACTCCCAGAAGTAAAACACTCCAGTGTCAGGAAGGACGGAGAGCATCCAGAATGCTAACACACTGCTCGTGTGAGGACAAAGTACTAGCGCCACTTGGAAATGTATTTGGTAGTGTCTAGTTAAGATTAATGCCCAGCAAGTAAGGGTCAGGAATTCTACACTCTTACTCAACAGAAGTGCATGCATGCACTCACAGTAGCATGTCATGTAAGGTCCCAAGTAGACATAACCCAAACAACCATCAGCAGAAGAGTTTGATGAATCAAGGCATAGCCATATAATGAAATACTGTGGACTCAAGCCCCAGGACCAAAAAAGTAAATACTATGTGAGAATTAGTCAACCACCACTACAAAAAACAGATTTATTAAATCTCCCAAACAAGGCTGAATGACAGCAAACACAAGAGACTAACTGCATGATAGATTTTTAAAAGGCAAATGAATCTACGGAATACAAGGTAAAGATTTGCTAACCTTGGTGTGGGTAGCAGCAAACAGAGTATCAAAGAGACTTCTGCAATCTTTTTGTTTGTTTTGTTTTTCCAGACAGGGTTTCTCTGTGTAATAGTGCTAGCTAGCTGTCCTAGAACTTGCTTTGTAGACCAACCAGGCTGACCTCGAACTCACAGAGATCTGCTTGCCTTTGTCTCCTGAGTGCCAGAGTTAAAGGTATGTGCCACCGCTACTCTGAGACTTTTGCAATCTTAGTAATGTGTTTTGTTTTGTTGTGAAACAGAGTCTCGTACAGCCCAGGCTGGCCTCAAATGCTCTATGTAGCTGAGGATAGATAACCTTCTGATCCTCCTGCTTCTACTTCCAAGTGCTAGGGTTACTGGCATGTGACACCACACCTGGTTTATGTGCCACTGTGAATTGAGCAGAGTTTCACAAATGTTAAGCAAGTACTCTACCAGATGACTTACAGCCTCAGTTCTTGACCTGGAGGCTAGGTGTGTTTACTCTAACAATTCATGGAGCTGTACACTTGTGATTGGTGCCTTTTTCTCCATTTATTTTATAGCCCAACAAGAACACCCAAAAATCATTAAGATTTGGAAAAGGCAAGATAAGCAACAGAAAACAACGACCTGGACTCGAAGGCAGAGCAGAGAAGTGAGAAGGCAGCTGAGGAACCTGACACAGTGGGAGACACACACACACACAGATGTGGAGAGCACACACACACACACACACACACACACACACACACAGATGTGGAGAGCACACACACACACACACGCACACACACAGATGTGGAGAGCACACACACACATACACAGAGACGTAGAGAGTATGCGCGCGCGCGCACACACACACAGACGTGGAGAGCACACACACACACAGAGACGAGGAGAGCACACACACACACACATACACATACAGAGACGAGGAGAGTGTGCACACACACACACACACACACACACATACACACACACACAGAAACACACACAGACGTGGAAAGCACATACAGAGATATGGGCTGAAGCCCCAGCTTTCTCATAAACGTTTTGAGAACCAGAAAAAAAATCATATATGCAAAAGAGATGTGCAAACCACGATGAATAATATATAATATAAACATATAGGTCTAACCAGGTGGTAACGGCACATGCCATTAATCCCAGTATTAAGTAGGCAGAGGCTGGCGGATCTCTGTGAGTTGGAGGTCAGCCAGGTCTACAGAGTGAGTTCCAGGACAGCCTCCAAAGCCACAGAGAAACCCTGTCTCAGAAAAACAAAAACAACAACAACAACAAAAACCATAATAGGTCTGTCCCAGACCACTATAGCAACAAACTCTCCAACAGAAGCCCATGCTAAAAAGAATGTTAGCTGTTGAAGTTGGGCATGGTAGTGCACACCTTTGATCCCAGCCCTCCACAGCAAAGACAGGCAGATCTGTGAGTTCCAGGTCAGCCTGGTCTACAAAGTGAGTTCCAGGACAGCAGCGCTACAAAGTAAACCTTGTCTCAAAACAAACAAACAAAAACGAAAAACAAAAATGTGTGTGTATGTGTATATAATTATATAATATACACACGTATACACATACACACACACACACACACGTATGTAAATAAATAAATAAATAAATAAATAAAAAGAGTAGGATTTCACACAACAGGAAAGCAGGAAGAATTAGTAGGCACAGGCCCTTGCACACAAGCCAAGTTCAAGTTCAATATACGGATCCTACAAGGTGGCAAGAGCAAACTTGTGAGAGATGTCCTTTGATTTTCCCATGAGTACTATGGCACATGTACCCTACACTCACACACATAATAAAATAAATGAAATCTGATCATTTCAGAGCTTGAGGGCTGGAGACGCTGGGTTCCATCCTCAGCCCCACACAAAGCTGGCGCAGTGGTGTCGGCCTGTAAGGCCAGCACTCAGAGAGGGTGGAGACAGACATAGCAGCAGCTCAAAGTCATCCTCACCTAGATGGTTAACTTAAAACCAGCCTGGGACACACGAGTCAACAAATAATAAGCAAACAGTTAAAACAACCACCACCAAAAGGTCTTGAAAGTGAAGAGGCTCCCAGGGTGGGGAGGAGGAGAGGACAGAGACAGGCTCAAACAGTTCTTGAATGCTGAGGGTGCGTGTGTCTCACAGTCCACCAGGGCACAGCCCACTTACATTCATTTTATTCTCTGCCCTAGTGCTCGACACCATGCTGGGCATGGAATCAGTACTCAATAAAAACTAGGTAGATTTTTTTTCTCCTATTTTGTTCAAAGAGAAGGACAGCCTGGAGGAAGTCCAAAAAAGAACCACAGCCTGATCAAAGGGAGGAATAAAAGGTCCTGGTGGAAAGGTTAAAACGAACTGAAGTTGTTTAGCTTGGAGAAAAGGCAACTGAAGAATTAAGGAGTAACTTAGAATAACACTGGGGCTGGAAGACATTGCAGAGGTCTCCCAGTCCAATTTTTTCACTTCATAGATGAGGAGACTAAAACCAAGGGAGAGGTTGCAACTTGGAGAAGGTAGGTTAGGATAATATTTTTTTTATAGTGAGGATTAAATTTACTCAAGCAGTATGAGCTTATATAGTAATAAAAATAGCAGTTACAAGACTGGGTGTGGTATCATATGCCTCTAATCCCAGCAGAAGCAGGTGGAGCTCTGAATTGAAGGTTAGCCTGGTCTATAAAGAAAGACCCTATATTTCAATAAATAAGTCCTCAGCCAATAAATATAACACTAACAGAAAGAAGAAATCAACACTAGGGAAGACCACTGTAATGATTATTAGTCAAGAATAATCAATGAATTTCATGGATTAAAAAAAATATTATGCAAAGGAATACTAGGGTATTCCTCACAAGAAGAAATCCTATTACATGCCACATATGCATGAACACGGAAGATTTTTTTTTTTTTTTTTTTTTTTTTTTTGGTTCTTCGAGACAAGGTTTGTCTGTATTGCTTTGGAGGTTGTCCTGGAATTCCTTCTTAGACCAGATGGCCTCGAACTCACAGAGATCCACTTGTCTCTGCCTCCCCAGTGCTGGGATTAAAGGTGGGTGTCACCAACGTCCCGCTGAACATAGAAGATTTTAAGCTAAGTGAAAACAAGTGAGCTGACTGCACTTACATTCAATAATTAGGGTGATCGAACTCCCTGATAAAAATAAGGAAAAGATCTACCTGGTGTGTTGCTGCACCCCTTGGTCCCAGTACTGGGAGGCAGAGGCAGGAAGAGCTCTGAATTCAGGCTAGCCTGGTCTACAGAGCTAGATCTGGGACAGTCAGGACTATAGGGGGGGAAGACATACAAAGAAAATTAGAGCCTATAATGCCAAAAAAAGGAAATAATTTACAATTATAATTTCAATAGCAAATAAAGGCTATCTAAACATGAATATCGTCTGTTTTCGTAAGTGAAAAGGCACCAAGATATTTAATCTATATACATTTGATATCTGTTAAGGTTCTTAACTATACTTTTTCAGTGCTGGAGACTGCAGCCAGATCTTCACATATGAAGGAACTGAACTAGACCCCAACCCTGCCAGGATACTCAAGGAAAAATTAATATGCACACATTTCCATAAAGCCTGGGAGAGAACCAGCAGAGATGAAAGCACTGACATTTTCAGAATTGAAGTCACAGATGATTTTATTTACTTTAATACTAAAGTATTATATGACTAAGCAGGGCAGAGGTAGTTCACGACTTTAATCCCAACACTTGGGAGACAGAGGCAGGATCTCTGTGAGTCTGAGGCCAGCCTGGTCTACAGGGTGAGGTTCAGGAGAGCCAGGGTTACACAGAGAAACCCTATCTCAAAAAACAAACAAAATAAGTGTTATATGACATTTAAAAATTAAGAAATTAAAACCCATTAAAGAGCCCAAGGTTCAAGACATCAAAATAAACCATGTGGTCAATGGTAAACTAATTGTGTCTTGGATTTTATGTTCATAAAGAAAAGGAAATATTTTGCTACCCAAAGAAAAGTAGCACAAAATAATTTTAAAAAGAAAACTGAAAGTTAGCTCTAAGATGAATATCTGGAAAAGGTGCCTAACAGTAAAGATTACCAGACTGTGACATGGTAACCCTAGTAACCCTGGCTAAGTTCTACTGCAGGGGTATTTAGAAGCAACACGACACCACAGAGACCCACAGTGGTCTCAGGGGGCTTTTCTATCACACAATGTGGTTTGCACATAAAAAAGGTTTCACACCAACCAAAAGAACAAATTTTACCTGGGAAGTGCTGGAGAGAGTCCTGTCCCACTGTCTTTGGGTAGAAGATACTGATACCAGTTGGCTGCATATTGGAACCCACTGGGAGATGTTAGTCTGGTTCCTCTAGAAAAGAAAAGCAATGTCAGGAATCTATCAGAGTCCATATGTAGAGAGTAGAGTGTACCTGCAATGTTGTAAAACAATAAGAATTACATATTTGGCTGGGGCGGTGACACGCACCTTTGATTCCTCCATTTGGGAGACAGAAATGGAGATCTTTTAAGGCCAACCTGGGCTACATAGTGAATTCCAGGCAGCCAGGACTACAGAGAGACCTTTTTTTCAAAAGGGGTTGGAGGAGAAGAAATACATATTCAGCCTTCAAGTTTGGCTCCTGGCAAGAGTTCCTAAACCGCCGGGCGTTGGTGGAACACGCCTTTAATCCCAGCACTCGGGAGGCAGAGGCAGGTGGATCTCTGTGAGTTCGAGGCCAGCCTGGTCTACAGAGTGAGTTCCAGGATAGCCTCCAAAACAATTCAGAGAAACCCTGTCTCGAAAAACCAAAAAAAAAAAAAAAAAAAAAAAGAGTTCCTAAACCTCCTGGCATTCACACATGAGTGTTTTTCTTTCATAACAAGCGTTTATGCTGATGACCTGACTCTAAGAACAGAGGACTGGTTGGATAAAGGAACCAATCGCCAGTGTTACTGAGTGACTTAAGTGTTCTGTTACTACCCTACTGGTTCCAGGACAGACTTTAAAGCCACAAAGAAACCCTGTCTTGAAAAAAAAAGTTTAAGCTGGAATTGAAATGTACAATAACTAAAATGAAAAACGGCATGGCCGTTATCCTGTCTAGGAAACAGAAAGAGACCAATGGGATACCATCAAACTTGCCAAATATGTATAACGTCAGGACTCTTAAGGAAAGGAAATAAAGGGACAGGAAAAAATTAAAACAAAACCAAACTAACAGAAGGCATCAGGGAGGGGCTGGAGAGATGGCTCAGCAGTTAAGAGTACTGGTTGCTTTTCTCCAGGTTTATTCCAGCACCCACATGACAGCTCACAACCATTCATAACTCCGGTTCTTACTCTGTTCTGACCTCCATGGACACTGCACACATATGATCCATAGGCACACATTCAGGCAAACACTCATATACATAAAGTAAGTCAATAAAGTACACACACAAAAACACAGCAGAAAATACCCCCAAATTTGTTCTACAATCTAAGAAATTCAACTAGTTTCAAGTAGGATAATTAAAAAGATGCATCATAATCACATTGTCAAAAGAGAAAAAAGTGTTGATAAGCTGGGCAGTGGTGGGGCACACCTTTAATCCCAGCCCTGGGGAGGCCAGCCTGGTCTACAGAGTGAGTTCCAGAACAGGCTCCAAAAGCTACACAGAGAAACCCTACCTCAAAAAACCAAACAAGTAGTAAGTAAAATTTCTATATCCAGCAAAACTATCATTCAAAAGTAAAATGGAAGTTAAAGCAAAAAATTCCCAGATAAACAAAAACTGAGAGAATGCATAGACCACCAAACCTCCAAAAATATTCCTTCAGAATGAAATGAAAGGATGCCAGACGGGCTGACAAGTTGGCTCAGTGGTTAATTAAAAGCACGTGTTGCTCTTGCAGAGACCCTGAGTTTAGTTCCCAGCACCCACATGGTGGCTCATGGCTGGCTGTAATTCTGGTCTCAGGAGATCCAACATCATCTTCTGAGCTCAGTAGGTACAAAGCATACATGTGGTGTCCATATACACATGGTGCACATATACATATGCAGGTAAATACATAAAACAATAAAAAGGGGATGCTAAATAGTAATTCAAATCTACATGAGAAAATAAAATACACTGGTAAAGTTAACAACTTAAGTAAATAAAAATAGATTTTTTTTAGGTCTCTGGGACGGTCTCTTTTTGAAAGTGGGTGGGGGGATGAGGCAGGGTTTCTCTGTGTAAGCCTTGGCTGTCCTGGAACTTGCTCTGTAGACCATGATGGCCTCAAACTCAGAGATCCGCCTGCCTCTGCCTCCCAAGTGCTGGGATTAAAAGCATGAACAGCCAACACCTGGCCATGGCAAGGCATTTAAAGCCAGCCTCGACTACATAAACCTCAAGATCAGACAGACCTACTTGAGACTGTCTGAAAAAACGAATAGATCAGACATAGTGGTCTTTAATCCCAGCGATTGGAAGGCAGAAGCAGGCAAATCCCTGTAACTTTGAAGCCAACCTGAACAACATGAGTTCCAGAACAACCAGGACTATGAAGAGAGACCATATCTCAAACAAACAAACAAAAAAGAGGCAGAGACAAAAGGATCAATGCAAGTTCAAGGTCAGCCCGAGCTACAAAGTGAGACCTCAACCCACACCCAAAAGAGCAAATAGCTTGGCCATTTCTCCAAAGATATAGAAATGATGAATGCAGAAGTCATCACCAGTCACTAGGGACATGCAGATTTTTAAGAAGTACATATTGTTTCATTTCCATTAGAATAACTATTATCCAAAAACAAAAACTAAGCTAAAGAGAAACTGAATTTTTTTTGTATATCGATGGTACAAATGTAAAACAGCACATCAGCTGTCCAGTTCCCAGCATCCACATCATGTAGCTCAGACCACTCTTAACTCCAGCTCCAGGGAATCGCTCTCTCTCTCTATCACTCTCTCTCTCTCTCTCTCTCTCTCTCTCTCTCTCTCTCTCTCTCTCTCTCTCTCTCTCTCTCTCTCACACACACACACACACACACACACACACACACACACTTAAAGCCAAGTGTTGGTGGCACACACCTTTGATCCCAGCACTCGGGAGGCAGAGGCAGGTGGATCTCTGTGAATTCGAGGCCAGCCTGATCTACAGAGCAAGTTCCAGGACAGCCTCCAAAACTACAGAGAAACCCTGTCTCAAAAAAACCAAAAAGAAGAAAGAGAGAGAGAGAGAGAGAGAGAGAGAGAGAGAGAGAGAGAGAGAGAGAGAAAGTTAAATATAGGGACGTAATCCTATTGAATAGAGTGCTTGTATGCACAAAACCCCCGGGTTCCACTCCTAGCACCACATGACATAGTGGATTAGTCCAGTAATCCCAGCACTGGAGAGATGAAGGAGGATCACACCCAAGTTCAAGTCCAGCTTGGGGTACTTAAGACACTGTCTCAAAAGAGAGGAGGAAGAAAGCATCACCATGGAAACAGTTTTTATTAGTTGATTCTCTGACCAAACCTAACAACATTTGGGGTCAGTGAGACGGCTCACTGGGAAAAGGCAAACAGATGGCCTGATTTTAGCCTTGGGACCCACAAGGTAGGAGAGAATACCCATGAGGTGTCTGTCATCTGACCTCCACATTCAGTGTGGCATGTTCCCCCAGGCGTGTGCACACACACACACACAAATATATCAGATTCCTGAGTTCAAGGTTAATCTGGTCTACAGGCAAGTGTAGGCCAGCCAAAGCTACACAGAGAAACCCTGCCTCAAAAAAAAAAAAAAAAAAAAAAACAAGACAAAGACAGAAAGAAAGAAAGAAAGAGAGGGAGGGAGGGACGGAGGGAGAGAGAGAAGAAAATCTGAGACGCTGGACAGCACTCAAGAGGCAGACAGGTGGATCTCTGAGTTTGAGGCCAGCCTGGTCTACAGAGTGAGTTCTAGGACAGTCAGAGCCATACACACACATACACTCTCTCTCAAAAAAACAAGAAAGACAGACAGACAGAAAGAGGGAAAAAGAGCCGGGCGTTGGAGGCGCACGCCTTTAATCCCAGCACTCGGGAGGCAGAGGCAGGCGGATCTCTGTGAGATCGAGGCCAGCCTGGTCTACAAAGTGAGTTCCAGGACAGCTTCCAAAGCCACAGAGAAACCCTGTCTTGAAAAACCAAAAAAAAAAAAAAAAAAAAAAAAAAAGAAAGAGGAAAAAAGAGAGACAGAGACAGAGACAGAGAGACAGAGAGAGAGAGACTCTGAGGCTCGGAGAAGTCAGATGCTACTCAAGACTCCACCTACAGCAGGTGGTGGAGCCACAATTTCCCCACGACTGTCCAGATCCTAGAGGCTCACTAGGTCTTGCACCAGGCAGTGGCCAGCCCAAACCGCAGTCCCAAACAGGTGCGCAATAAATACCCCCTACTGATTTCTACTTTGAACTAGTCTTAAGAGAGTTACCATAGCTTCATCAAGCTCTGTTACAATGTATAAGAAGATCTCAGGGAATGAACCTGTAATAATCCCTATGCTCAGGGACATTTAAGATCTCTAAGGCAAATCAATGTTCTAGTTCAGGTCTCCAGCCCAATACATTTTTGTTTTCTATTTCCCCAAATTATCTGTCAAAACTAATTTCAAAAACTAATTTAGGACTCAGCAGTAAACTCCTTATCTTGCATGCATGCAGCCCTGGGGTTTAACCCTCAACACACACACACACACACACACGCACACACACGCACACACACGCACGCACGCACGCACTCACGCCCTCCCTTTACAATAGATCAGTTGCCATTTCCCCAGCCATCCGCAGATCTTAATTCAACTTCCAGTTTAGCGTCTGTAATTACTTCAGCAAATGAATCCTTCTCTAAGAAACAGGAAGACACCTCAAACAAAATTTCCTGAGCAGCAACTGGGTGTTCTGCACTTTACTAGGGTGACAAGGAATGCAAGTAAAGAATGTAGTGACTCACACATAAAATTATTAAAAACACATAAAATAACAACCCAAAAGATAACCAAAGGCAGGAATAGTGTCTGCTACATCAAACAGTGCCCTTGACCAAGTTTTGCAAATACCTGACTACAACTACAAACTGTCCCATGCCTTCGTGACTAGGAACTCCGCTGTCATTTTCTTAACCCTTCCTAGAGGTCAGGATTAATTCTCAAGAGGATTTAAGGCCAAATCTCGGGAGGAAGGGGCGTGGACAGACCTTCCTCCACACACGGATTAGAAAGGGTCTTCATTCATTCGACAAGTGTTAGGTTGTGCCAAATACTATGGTGAGCAGTGAAAGCCACAGGGCTGTTTCTCCTGAAGCTTTTGCTCTGATAACCTATGCATTCCACTGAAATACACAAGTAAGAATGCATTAAAGTCTCTGAAACAAACTACAAGAACCTCAGAATCCAAAGGGACTGCAAGGAGATGTATGTCCTCATTTTTCACAAGGACCTGGAACCTCCAGTATCGTACTCAAGGTCACACTGTGACGGACGTGGACTAGACGCCCCCTCCCCAGGTTCCCCCCCCACTCCAGTCAGTGCCCCCCCCTCTCTTCTCCCAGACAGCGATCCTCATCACATAAAGATCCGAGGTCACTGCCTTCTAGAAAGGCGGAGAAGCCAAGGCCAAATGAGGGGTAAGGAGAAGTGGGAAGCTGCCCCGTTTCCCTGTGGAAAGGTGACCAAGCAACCGAGCTAAGGCACGGGCTCCCTCGCTTCTCCCCTGCACTCCCGCCCCGCCCTCTCCAATCCCAACCTGGAGACGCGCGTGCGTCTATAGAAAAGTCTCCCTGCACTCACAAGGACTCGCACCAGCAACGCCATGTTCCTCCACGATCATTTCCGGGTGAAGGGTGGGCTTCCGGAATCCCGGTTGTCACCACCCACTCAGGACGCTGCCCGCTTGCTAAAGGCAGTCAGGCTCCGGCAGCGCAGGCGTAGATGTCGCTCTGCGCACCCGCGGGTTTCCCGCCGGGGATCTGAATGAGGTTCCAGGGCGCGCGAGTCCCCGCGGGTCTTCTGTCCCTACTGTGCGTCACAAGGACTCGCGTTCTTCCCCCCACACCACCTCCGGGAGCCCGGCCTCTGACACCCCACTCACCCTTCGGTAACCCCTTGACAGCCATTCCTTTCCTGCCTCCACCCCCAGGAGACGACCGGCCGAAGGGAACGGCACTTCGGGTCTCCCGATGGTTTAACGGAGCTCGAGGACCTAAGAGCACAGTCCTGGAAAGCAGACCCGACGCCTGGCAGAAGAGAAACTTAGGGCTTGTGGTTGGCTAGTTAACGGGCATCTTTGAATATTGAGAGGAGAGAATTAGTAAATGGAGAGAAAGGAGGGTGAAAAGCGTTCTCTGGGAGAATGGGAGAATGGTCTTGACTGAAAAACTCTTGTATCCCAAGAGACGTGGAAAAGAGAAGATATTGCTGCTTTGGGGACTGACCGGAAGCCGAAGACCTAGCAGTTGAAGCACTTCCTCTCCACCCAGTCAATAATGACCCACTGAGTATTCCGTTTGTACTGGACGGACACCCGTCCAGTGTCGGGTAACCCTGTGGAGCTTGTGAGCTGCTTGAGGAAAGTACGGGTAGATTTGTCCAGACAACTCGTGAGAAAAATAAAAACTGATATGAAGGAACCAATAAATAGCTAATAAAAATAATGATATGGGCAACTACTTGGCAGCTTAGCCAGATAAAGCCTACTTGAGGAAGTGACATGTAAGGTGGGATCCAGGGTACACTTTATTTTTTATCTTTTCAACAAAATTTCTTGTAGCCCAGGTTGACCTCAGGCTCTATGTACGCGAGGCTGGCCTTGAAATATTGATCCTCTCCTGCCTCAAACTCCCAAGTGCTGCGATTACAGGCTGAGGGACTATGCCCAGCCTCACAATTTTGTTTTGGTTTTTTGAGCAGATCTCAATATGTAGCTGTGGCAGGCCTGGAACTGAGAACCAGCTTCCCTGCCTCCCGACTGGCAGCTACCACATCTGGCAAAATTCTGTATTTATCGAGTTTGTGGTTTTTATTTTTTTTAAAGATTTTATTTATTTATTACATATACACCAGATTGAATTGTAGATGGTTGTCAGCCACCATGTGGTTGCTGGGAATTGAACTCAAGACCTCTGGAAGAGCAGTCAGTGCTCTTAACCTCTGAGCCACCTCTCCAGCCCGAGTTTGTGGTTTTTAAATGTTTACATGTAGAATAGCTAAATTAAGCTTATGACCGGGCAAGACAGTGCAGAGGTTCCTCCATCTTGTTTCTGTTTTTTGTTTTGAGGCTGTGTAATAGCCCTGGTTGCCCTGGAACTCACTTTGTAAGACCAAACTGGCCTTGAACATACAGAGATCTGCCTACCTCTGCCTCCCAAGTATTGGGAGTAAAAGGGTACACCACCATCCCGGCATTCCATCCTGTATCCTTGCTGAGACCATTTCAGGGTTCTTCTTGATGGACAATCCCATGGAAAATTACTCAAGGAACCCAAGGTCAAGATGCCCTATTTGACCTATTTTCGCTTCTGTTGAACTGCCTGCTTGTACAAACCTCCCCCTCTGGCTAGACACTTATCTTAGCTTCTGTTAAATTGCTTGTTTACATGAAGTCCCCTGCAGCTTCCAAAGGAGATGCCATATCATGGTTTCTGCCTTCAAAAACTCCATGCCCGGAACACTCGGTGCTAACTTAGTATCTGAATACTTGAGTATATAGTCCAGACTAAAGACTTCCAATTGCTTATAAACTCAGTCTGAGTGTTCATCTCTTGTGGGCTCCCTGTATATATATATATATGTATGTATGTATGTATGTATGTATGTATGTATGTATGTATATACATATATATATATATGTTCGTTTGGTATTTGAAAATACAATCAAGCCAGGGGTGGTGGTGGCTCACACCTTTAGGCAGAGGCAGGCAGATCTCTGACTTAGAGGCCACCCTGCTCTACAGAGTGAGCTCCAAGACAACTAAGGCTACATAGAGAAATTCTGTCTCAAAAAACTTAAAAAAAAAAAACTTATTGTAGGGTCTTCTTCCATTTGTCTCCTCAGAGGGTATTCTAACTTATATTCCTACCTACAGTATTGCCAGGGTTCCCTTTTCTCCACTTCCTCATCAACACAGTTATAACAGCTGCCCTCATAGATGTGATATTCCACTGTGGTTTCGATTTGCACTTCACTGAAGATTAATAATGAAGTATTTTTCCCATGTGCCTATGGCCAATTACGTATCTTCTGGGGAGAAATGACTATTCTCAAAAATCCTTTGCCCATTGTTGGGAGCTGGTGTTGTCTTTTGGTTGTTTAGTTGGTTGGGTAGCTGGGTGGGTAGTTTAAGACAGAGTCTCACCAAGTAGCCCTGGCTGGCCTGGAATTTTCTATGTAAATCAGACTAGCTTTGATTTCAAAAAGATCTCCACTCTGACTGCTGTGTTCTGGGCTCAAAGGCATGTACCACTACCTAATACCACTGTCTTGGGGTATTAGGGATCAAACCCAGAACATTATACATAGCAGGGATAGGGCAAGAACCCTACCAATAAGCTACCCTTTGCCTAGTCTTTAGTAAGATAATTTTGCTGTTGCCATTGCACTGAGTGAAGTCTTTATATATTTTGGATATTAACATCATGCCAGATACATGATTTGTAAATACTTTTTCCATTCCATAGGTGTCTCTTCAATCTGATAACTGTTTCCTTTTCTAGTTTGAAGTAGTTACAATTGTCTTGTTTTTAGTTGTGTTGTTTCTATACTTTGGAGATCAACAAACAAACAACAACAAAAAAAAAACTACTGGGGGTTGGCCATGATGGTACATGCCTTTAATCTCAGCACTTGACAGGCAGAGACAAGCATGTCTCTGTTGGAGGCAAGCCTAGTCAACACAGAGAGTTTCAGAATAGCCATGACTATATAGTGACATTCTCTCTAAAGAAAAGTAAGAATAATAATAATAGTAATAGCTGGAGAGATGGCCCAGCGTTTCTGGAGCACCAAATTCTATTCCCAAAATCCACATAGAGTGGCTCACGGTCACTTGCAACTCCAGGTCCAAGGGAATTTGATGCTTCTGGCTTCCATGGATACCTGCATGCATACAAAATGCAGACACACACACACACACACACACACACACACACACACAAACACACATACATTGGAGCCAGGCATGGTTGTCACTCTTATGTAATCCCAGAACTCAGAAGGCAGAGGTTGGTGGATCTCTGTGAGTCTGAGTCCAGCCTGGTCTACAGAGTTAAATCCTGTCTCAAAAACACAAAAGAATATTTGGTCAGGGTGAAGGCTCGGTGGATAAAATGCTTGCTGCACAGGCCTGCTGACAGGAGTTCAATGATCCCCAGAATCCACTTAAAAAGCTGCATGCACGCATTTGTAATCCCAACACTTATACTCTGAGATATGCAGCAGAGACAGAAAAATCAGGGAGAAGCCCCTGTAGCATCATGGCTTTTGTCCTCTGAACTCTGAGAGAGGACCATGGCATGAGCGTATCCACACTCACACACACCCGAAATAAATAAAGCTTACTTACAAAAATGTTGCCCAGACCAGTGTCAGGGAGTTTTTCACCTACTTTTTATGCAGTAGTTTTAAGTTTAAGGTCTAATGTCTAAGTCCCCAATGAACTTCTGTTTTGCAGCTATCTTACACTGTGTGGTTAAGGCTGGTTTCAAACTTACAGATTCACCTGCCTCTCTCTGCCTCCTGAATGCTGAGGTCTTCAATATATTTTGAGTTGACTTTTGTGTGTGGTAGACGGTAAGGATGTAGGGGCTGAAGACCTGGCTTAGAGGTTAAAAGCACTGGCTGCCCTTCCAGAGGTCCAGAGTTCAATTCCCAGCACCCACATGGCAACTCACAACTGTCTAACTCCATTCTAGGGGATCTGGCTCCCTCTCGTGGGCATACCTGTGTGTACCTGCAGAAAAACACTAATGAACAGAAAATAACAACAAATAATTACTTTTTTTGTTTGTTTTTTCGAGACAGGGTTTCTCTGTGGCTTTTGGAGACTGTCCTGGAACTAGCTCTTGTAGAACAAACAGGCTGGCTTCGAACTCACAGAGATCCGCCTGCCTCTGCCTCCCGAGTGCCGGGACTAAAGGCATGCCCAGCTCACCTTCCATCTTTATGTGGGTTTCAAGGATAGAACTCAGGTTGCTAGGTCTGCACAGTAAGTGCTTTCTATACACTGAACTATCTTACTAGCCTCACTGTATTTGTCTGTTTGTGTTTTGAGACAGGGCCTCTCTGTGTAGCCCAGGCCGTTCTAGGATTATCTATATAGACATCGATCCTCCTGCCTTTGCCTCCCCCATGCTGGCATTAAAGGCGTGTGCATCACTGCCCTGCTCTCACCAAGTTGTTTGGTTTTGGGCTCTTGTTTTTAGACAGTTCTCTAACTGAATCCGAAGACTGCTAATTTGTCTATACAGATTGGCTGAAATGCTCCAGTGGAAAAAAGGACGTAGGCTGGGCATGCTGAAGGTTGGTGACACGGATGGAGGCTGAAGGAAGACATCAGCTGAGGGGCCACGTGAACTAGTGAACAAAAGTGATCATTTCTTCCTTGGCTTCACATGGATGCTGAATCCAAACTCAGTACTGTGCTATCTCCCCATCTGCCTCCCCAGGCCTTTCTTCCAGGTCTTTTGTATTTAGTCCCCCCACAGACTTAGAAAGTCTATCAGTTTAGTAGATGTGGTTTGGTTTTTGCAGGTTTTTCAGGGTTTGACAAATGCTAAGCAAACACTATACGAGGGATACATCGCATCTCTTCCATGGTTCTTTTATAGTTTTTTTTTTTTCTGAGACAGGGTTGCTATACTGGTCTCCTGGACTCAAGTGAGCCTGGTCCCTTTAAGTTGGAAGGTTTAGGGATGAAGAATTTGCCTTCTCCACATTGTAAGTCATTATCACTTGTTCACGTGGCCCCTCG